AATTTTGAAAACCTCCATGTCACAGCTTTCTGAGAGTGAACTTACAAATAGGAGTTTAATATTCCAAACAATAGCAAGTAGTTACCTGCTTTGGAATAATTCATGTTTTCAAACTTGGATATAAGGGTTTTTGAAAGTAAATTTTGGTAGAATTCTTTTATAAATTTTATAATTCACATTGAAATTATTTGAGTTTCTTAAAGTATCAAAAAATATTTTTACAATTTTTTGGGGTGTGTGTTGAGATTGAGTCTTTCTAGTCTTGTTGCTGGCTATACGGAATAGGCTGGTCTCAAATCACTGAGATTCTCCTTCCTTTGCCTCCCAAATGCTGGGATTTAAGGTGTGTGCCACCCCGCCCATCCAAGCTTTTACTTTTTAAATAGTATCTGTTAACTGAATATAATTTCATTTGTGTTTTAGACCTTTCTAATGTTTTCTCCTTAATTTCAAGAACTTTGTTTCGCTAAAAACTGAAACTACTACTGAGTAAATTAGAACTTGAAGCTAATGTGACTTGTGGGGAATAGGAATTCTGTTTCTTTCCAACTCCCCGAATATAAGAATATTAAGGGAGGAAGTGCAGATGAGAATAAGGAAATAATAAATAAAAAAAAAACTTTCCTTAATTTTTTTTCTTAACTGTTTTTCTGACACAGCTCTGATACTGTAAGTTTGAAAGCTGCCTTTGCTGGTTAGAGACCTGTTCTGATTGGTTGGTTCTGCTAGGTCACAGAGCAGTTATGCAGGCAGAAATAACTGAGTTCCTGGCCTCTTCCTACCTCTGCTTTTTCCCGTGTTGGATGTTGTTTTGTCGTTGTTATTGTTGTTGTTGTCTTTTGTTTGTGAAATTAGTTGAACTGGTGAGATGCTCCGCATAGGAAGAGTTGATACTAAGGATTATAGAAAATAATGAATACACTCTAATACCATGTCTGGTTCTTGTTGCTTTTGAGTCTGCAGAAAGTTTCCAAATTCTCTTTTCAAAAATTCTCTTTTGTTCAGAAAGACCTTCAGGGTTCTAGCTGATTTCTAGGTCTTGCTGTAGGTCTTTTCTTCTTGTGGTCTCCTGTCCTTTCTGCTACAACCTGCAGGAGGAGTCCAGTATTCCCCAGTCGCCATCTTATTTACAGTCGGACAACTTGATGCGGTTTTGCTGATCTCAGCAGATGTAGAAGGGTGTCGTGATTTCTGTTGGGAGTGATGACTCTTATTCTAGTCCCCCTTTAAGTGAATAGAGCCCCGACTTTTTGATTAATGATAGGCCTTTTCCAAGCACATCGTTCAATTCTTTCCATGGATTATTTCATTTTAATCTGCACAGCCATCCTAGAATGATATTAACAATATTCTTATTGCCATATCTTGAATAAGCAAATGTTAGCTCTACAGAGGCCTTAGCTCACAGAAGCAGCATGAATGGAGAGAGGAAGTACAGCATTATCTAAAGGGGGAGGATTGTTTCTAGAGGGTATGCAGAGCTCTCTAGAGGTGAGAGTCAGGAATGGCTTGCATTTCCTTCCTTTGAGCTCCCCAGGCAGGTTGTATGTGGGCTCAGAGCTCTTGCCTTCTTTCTTTGTCTTTTAGGTTTTATAGATTTTTTTCTTTTAAGTTCTAAATGTTATATACTGTGCTGCTCCTGGTTTTGTCTGAAGAAAGTTTCAGGAGAATGATTTTGAGACTTTTAAATTCATACCCTCTTCAGAAAAGGAAATGTACGAGGCAACTGGATATTCTGAGTTAGTGAAGGCTCTGTGTTCTACGTCAGAAAACCTCTTCCTTCCCCTGACCTTGCTCCATGGCTTTGGTATTTTTGTCTGTAGCAAGGGCAACAATAAGGCAAATACTATAATGCTTAATCAACTTCCTGCCTATATATGGGTTCATGCAAAACATTCCATTCCAAGCATGGCATTTTGTGGAATTATTAACTCCTTCCTAAAGATGCAGCGGGAGATACCTTAGAACCAGAACCTGTCCAATGTTTTGCTTCTGTGCTGGGCCCTTTGGATCTTCTGCTTCCTAAGTGGGGATGGTAGATTTAATGGAAGGGGGGATGGAAGATTGGCTCCTTCCACTCTTAATATTTTAATTCATCTTAATTATTTTAATTAAAGTGTAACAAGTGTCTAGCATTGTTCCTGTCATTCATTATTCATTGGCTCGAGACTTAGTGGCAGTGCCTTGACATGTCTGTGGTTCTTCACTTTGAGAAATAGTGAGCAGAGAAACTCACTCTGCCCACTCCTCACGCTCTTTCTTACTTATAATATTCAGATGTAGAAAGAATTTTTACCCCTGGTCCGTTTTAGCACCATAACCTCCTACTATTGCTTCTGGTCTCCGGGTTGTTCTTGATGGCTGCTAGTGTTAGGGTGTCAGACCTGAAGTGTGACAGATAATTTTACAAGCACCCCCCATGACCCAGGCCCACCTAGTCTCTCTCTTGAGAACACAGTCATTTCCTCCTAAGGAAACAAAGACTTGGAAGTAGACCATGTGTCTGCTGCCACTCTGGAGCGCTTACTGCCTCGCATGGCACTTTGGTTGTCTGACTGCCGGTTTGTGTGTGCATGCCCCTGTGTGTGTAGCTTTCATTTGATTCACCTTCTTAAAAATAATGTATCTTTTGGTTGAGGTAATTCATGTATTCATAGAATTCATAGAATTTTTAATTCAGAAGTCATCAAATCGTGTCTCTTGACCGTCCTTATGGTGAAGATGCAGGCCTCTGTAGGATAGTAACAGCGCTCTCACACATGGTGGCAGAGCTGGGAGTTCTGATTTTGAGTTTGACCTTTTTCTGCCCAAGCTGGCATTACATTTTTTTCTGATTCCAGATACTTCTGACTGGCATGTGACTCCTCTCTCTCCATCGTTTTTGTTGCTGACTCTGGAACCTCTGATGTCATCTCTTTGAATAAACTGTTTTAAAAACAGGGAACATATTACAATGTAGTGTGTGAAGAATCTGCAAAACTAATTGTTTGTAGGATTTTCTTGTAAAAAATATCTCTTCCATCAAAAGTAATGTATAGCCAGGAGTGGCGGCACACACCTTTAAACTCAGCACTCGAGAGGCAGGGGCAGGTGGATCTGTCGGAGTTTGAGGTCAGCCTGGTTTATTGGTCTAAAACTCAAGTTCCAGGACAGCCAAAGCTGTTACACAGAGAAGCCCTGTCTTGAAAATCCACAAAAAAAAAAAAAAAAAAATTACATTCTCAGCAGACTCAGCAGAGGGAGGATATTTTGACCAGATAACTGATTCTCACCAACATAAAACTGTGTGTGGAGATGGATCTGGAAAAGGTGGGGTAGGAGGGTGGTAGAGAAGGAAGGCTGTGCTAAACAACTCCCACAGACATATATGGGCGCCCTCATAGTTCCAGTGGTGCCCTTGACTGGCGTGGCTGGGCCAGAGGTACGCAGCTGCCTCCTTGCGGGGCAACTCTCTCTGTACTTTTCAGTTCTTTGTTAATCAGGATTTCTTTACACTCTTAATATTTATTAAGGGCCTCAGAGGGCTTTATTTCATACACATTGAATTGATCAATATTTACTGTATTAAAAATTAAAACTAATGAAAGATTAATTCATTCAAAGTACCAAAGTTAAATGATTAATTCCTATATAAATGGTTAAGTTTTCACAGACTATAACTTCAAAGCTTCTGGCTAGAAAAATGTCATTGGAGTTTGTTTTTGTCAGTCTTGTTGATGTGCGGTGTAACTGAAGGACATGGGTCTCAGCTCTGCTTCTGCATTCTGTCTGTCCTTTGGAGTATCGCACTGTAAGCTGAGACAGACTGAGTGAACTGGAGAGCTGTATATGTCCAGAGTACGTGATATACTGGGAAGAAACTTTGTGAAAGCTGACTGCATGATGGCTGTACAGCAGTAATTAAGACAAGTCACGTCTTGATCATATAAGATGTTTGAGTTCATGTACCTCTAGGAGAATTTCAGTGATCTCTTACATTGTGCCTGGGCCACAATTTGAGATCCTTGGACTATTGTATACATTTTATGAGAGCAGAGACAAGTGCTGTGGTTTCCTTGGGACCTGGAAAAATGTCTTTAAGTTCATTCCTTCAGTGTTTACAGGCTCAACTTTCCCCCTGAAATTCCAGGGAAAGGCACTATCCGGTGAGTCAGACTCCAGCTTCCTTTTCAGGAGCCTTTCCCTTCGTTAGTCATGCTGAAGGAATCTCTGCTGCCCTTGACTCAGCTGTTAGACAGGTACCAGTGGTCCCTTTCTGCCATGCATGCGGCTGTGCAGGCTGGTGACAAACCAAGATAAGTCAGAGAAAGGAAAAGAAATCTCATCTGAGTGCAGTGAATTCTAGGAAGTCTTGGCAGTTGCCGGGAGAAATGAGCTGAAACTGTTTTCTCAAAACAGAGTAGTCTTTACAACAGTTTTGGGGGCCTTGTCTGGTAAAATGGGATCCATTCTGCTCCCCAGGAAGCATATGGCGTCTTCCAATTCACATTTTCAGCAGCAAGGCTGCTGAATGGCAGGTGCCTGGAGAGCAAGTGGGAGCAGTCGGCTCTCTGAGTGGCAGCACGCTCATCTGCCAGCCGTTAGGGTCATCGTCCCCAGTGGATGGTGGAAAGACATGAACTTCACCTCAGAATCAAGTTGTCAGTCTTTCGATAAAATGTAGGTAAACAGAATCAAAAGGTATCTCAAAAATTGTGTGGTAAACTTTTTAATAAAATGTGTGCGCAGCTGACGTTTCTAACAACTCGGAACAAATCTATTAGCTACACCAGGACGGCTCTCCGTGGTATGACGGCCTGCCAACGGTTATTTTTGCATTGAACTCACACAGGCGGGTTCGGAACAGCATGAGTTTTGTCTGCTTTATGAGAATGAGTAATTGTGGCATTTTCTAACTGCTTGACTGCTGGGCACAGAAGGTCATGATGGGACATTCTACTAAAATCTCTGAACTTCTTTCTCTGTCCTTTTCTTCCTGGGCCATATACTGCTGCCTTTAGCGCTTCAGCATGGAAGGGATCTCAAATGTCATTCAGAATGGCCTTCGCCACACCTTTGGAAACTCGGGTGGAGAGAAACAGGTGCTCTGTTATCCTTATTTTCCTCTTTCTGCCCCTTCCTTTTCTGTGAGGGCCCTGAAACTTGGCACTTCTACTAATTTATTAAGACTGTCGCTTAAAGGAGGAAGCGCAGGTTCTTTATATCTGTAGTCCCGATAATGAATGGAATCCCCCTCCGGGAAAAAGCATTTAGACTGGACAACAGACTAATTGCATTCTTAAGCAGGTTTCAGGGCCCCATTTCTCATGCCCGCCTTTAACAAATAGATATTAATATACTGACATAATGGATCGCATGTGCAGAAAGGGCCGGTTGTGAACTGAAACATGATACTCTCCTCCTAAAAACCCAGGAAAGAATTAAGGAGAATGTGGCTAGAGGCTGGTATAGAGTCAGGTAAAAAATATGCAGAGAATGGTATTTACCTCTTTCATCTGAAATTGGGCACATTGTATAGTGAGCCAGCTCAGCTGTTGGCCAAATGAGGAACAAGGTAGCATGTATCAGAATTGTATGCTGTGAGCCATGCAGTCAGATGTGAAGTGGTTTGGTTTATATGTACAGTTCTCCATAACTCAAAGAATGATCGCAATCAGGAAAATGTATATATTGGTGACTGTTCGAAATTATCTTTCAGCCTTTGAGAATTCCATTTGAAGGAAGACACTGTTGCAGGCTAGGTCTTGGACGATGTAACATGTAGGCAAATTATCAGAAGAACCAAATGCCTAGTGGTTCTACAGAAGGATTTTGTGTGTCACTCCGGAGGGAAGAGACTCTGACATTCACAGCGGATAGACAGGCTCCATGGGGTGGTGGAATTCCAGTTTCTATTAGTTACCACTCACCTCCCTGCAAGAAGGAAAAACAGCTTCCAAACTGACCTGACTGAGGAGGTGGGCCCACAGCCTCGGCATAGATCCCTGATGCTTCTTCAAATTGCTTGATGCATGCCATGACTGAAATCTTAGGCGGGCACATTCCTGTCTTTTATGGGCACTTTTATAAAGAAACATCCTTGGCTGTACAGTCGAGCCTCACCTGGAGAAGTCTGGTTCCGAAAGGCTGTGGGGCACTGCGGGTTTAAGAAGTGGAACAGCTCATTTTTACTGGACCTCAGGCTCAGTTATTTTATGTATAGTCACAGTCCATGGGGATTAGGAACAGAGCTGGAATTGAGAATGAACATGGAGGACAAACTTAGAGAAACTCAAGGACTGGCCAGGACACTAACTTTCTAAGCAAGTGTTTGCAAACTGTCCTGAACTGCAGACTAGAAGATTCCAGACAGTTACTTCTAGAACATGCTCTCATGAGATTTTCTCTTTCTTTCTTTTTGGACACAAATGTGTTAATAGTGAGCCTTTAGAGGAGTGAACTGGCAGGGCAATTTGTCACAAATTTGGAGATTATTTTTATTATTTATTTGCTTTTTAGGCCATTCTGTCTCACTTTTCTCATCTCTAATATCTAAAATCATTTATGCATACTTATACAGTCCTTTAAATATTAATTATCCATTTCAGTAATTGTTCGGGGAAGTGAGTCTTTGTTATTCATGTCTAAGAGAAGCTGGTTTGTGTTCTGAAACATTGTCATGTTATTCATGTTGACTGTTGCTTTCAGCCAGAGTCAGAGTGGTCTGAGAGGGAATGATTTGACTGCCAGAAATGATCAGTTGTATAATGTTGGTAAACTATGCTGTTAGCTTAACTACTGATTGGAAACTGTGTTAAAAATTGTGCAAGGAGAATGGTAATAAGATTCTACTTTAAAAAATCGAGCAAATAAAGCCAGTTGTCCTCAGAGCTGGTCCCGAGGAATGGTCGGTCAGTGGCTGAACAGTGGAAGTTTATTGTAATGCGAGGCTTCCTCACAGCAGGGAGAACTGGGGAGGAAAATGAACCTCAGCTGAAAGTCAGACTTAGGGATGCTGCCTGTGCCCGGCTCATCTCCAGACCAGCTCTCCTTCATGTTAGAGAATAGGCCTTCTAGGACCTGCATTGTTTTGAAGGTAAATTCATTCAGGCCTAAACGGTGCTTTTCGCTTTTCTTTCCCCTTTTAACTCGGCAGTATTTGACGACAGTCATCCCTTACGAGAAAAAGAATGGCCCACCGTCTGTCGAGGATCTTCAGATATTAACAAAAAGTAAGCAAAGACAAATTTAAATGCTTACTCGTTTGACTCTTGTTTTTTATTTCCAGGTTATTTTTATTTTGCCAGTGTAGGTTGGTGTATGATAGATGGTGTCCTTTATTCTTATGAGAGTGAAATAAACAGAATATCAAATGCAGTGCTGACTCTAGTCTTCATGGTTTGATTTTTTTCCCCTTAATTTTTTAATTATCTGTGAGCTAAGGTTTTTTTAAATAGAAAACATGTAACTTGAATCTCCATCATCTTACATGAGGACATGTCTGTCCACAAATTAAATGCTTTTTGGGTCTTATGTGACTTAGTGTCTGAAGAGGGGAGACCTAGAGATTTTAGGGTAAACACCCAGACTCTTGTGAATGGAAAACCAGAGGTTTTAGTTGTAGGGAGAGTCCACAGTGAGACTTAGAACATGCCTTCACTCAGCAGGCATCGCCAGGCTCTGCTGTGTGCCGCACTCTCTTCTAGTACTTTAGATATGATAATGGGCAAAGCAGACACAGGTATTCCACCTGTGTGTGGTGGTACATTTTAAGACTGTGAGATTACTAAGTAGACATAGTGTTAAGTATGCCTTGGAATAGTCAAAAAGGGCCAAAGAAACCTGATCACTTCTGTTTTCACAGATATTCTTGGAAGTCACTTTTTCTTTCTTGGTAACATTAGAAACTTAGGATTAAAAATATTTTCTCAGTTTACCCGATAGCAAATAAATTATAAATGATTTGGGATAAGTCACAGTCAGCTTGGCTTGGGCTGGAGAGATGGCTCGGTGGTTAAGAGCACTGGCTACTCTTCCAGAGGACCCAGCACCCTGAGGCAACTCACAACTGCCTGTAACGCCAGTTCCAGCGAATCTGGTGCCCCTTTCTGGCCTCCACAGGTGCCAGACACATACACAATACACAGATAGACATGTAAGCAAGACCCCCCCCCCCCCACGCACCCACACAATCAGTCAAGCAGTCACTGTCCAAATCTCATAAAAAAAAGAAGAAGAAGAAAGTGAAGGGATTGAGCTCTGGCCAAAGTCGCTCACATGTGTAATCCAGCACTGAGGGGGCTGAGGCAGGAGGATTGCCATGAGATCATGGGAGTTAGCCACCCTGGGCTACAGAGTGAGACCCTGTCTCAAGACAAACAAAATATCAAAGATTATATTTGTTAAGTAGCTTACTTCTAATTGTAAATTTTATGATAATTGCTTACAAGAAGGAAATGAAAATGTCACGTGCTGGTGGGTACTGATGGTGACACATGGATGGGAGGCCTGCGGGGACAAGCCGCTCCCTTTTAGCCACTCGACTGCCTGCTAACCTCGGTTGTTTACTCTTTTCCATGGTGAACAGTACATAAAAAGTCTTATATTTAGATATAGATAAATCAGGTGATGCCAGTCAGTCTAAAGGAAGCCAGAGCTCAGCTGGGTGGCTAGACCTCTCGTTTTCAGCAAGAGCTTGCAAATCTGGGTGCCCAAGACCACATAAGACAGTAAATTACAGGGCTGACTCTTTTAATTCCTGGGCAGCTCCACTCTGAATGACACTGGCTTCTAGAATGTGATTTTATAGAGACGTTAAAAAACATTTAAACCTCATTGAAAGCAGAAATGCTGAACCTGACAGTTGTCTAAAGAAGGGAACATAAATACTGCTCGGAAAACAAGATTTATTGAGCCTGAAGGCCTCAGCTCAGGGATGAGACCAAAGTCATTGCAGTTGCCTAGAATGTTGGTTCCCTAGAACGATCTTAAATGATTCTTAGCTCGTGCTTTGCTGGATGGATGCAATTTGTAGACTGTCCGGGTATCTTTGGGTGATGGAATAAAGTCCACTCTCAGAGAGCTGTGATGACGATGTGACAGCATTTCTCTGGTGACGACATTAGGGTACCACAGAAGAAGAGCATCTCCGGATCTGTGGCTTGCATGGGCATGATGATAATGGCAGTCATGAGAGCTGCAATAGTTGTGCTCCTGCTGGCTAACACGAGTCACTGTGTGTGTTCTCTGCCTGCAGTGAGGACCTGGATCCACAGGCTAGTGAAGTCCTTACTCATAGTTAGAGTAAGTGGCGGAGCCAGGGTTAAAAACCCCAGACGGCTGATCTATATATCCAGGAAAAAAATTAACTCGGAAGGAACAATTGTCTCTACCTAGGTGGTTTTGATTAAAAAGGAAGACCGAAAACCTGATGCTCAGTGGCTGAGTGGACACACACACACACGCACACACACACACACACACACACACACGTTTCCTCATCTTCTTCCCTAGCAGAGAAGGTGTTCAGAGCCCAGCAGATGCCGAGTTACCTTTTAGGCCTTCTTCATTTGCTTTTCGAATGTTTTCACTCAGTCTGACTAGCGCATTGTTTGGAGAGCACAGCTAAATCTCCCCTTTCTCTAGGAGGCCCTCCCGTTCTGAGGAGCTCCGAGGGCTCCCGCCTCATCAGCACACAACAAACTGTCCTTCACTCCCCAGCATCCCTTAGAACAAAGCAGATGCTCTGGAAACAGCCCAGCGCCTTTCCTGCCTCCAGCGCTTGGGAACACTAGCCCAGGGAATGAGCTTCAGTTCTTCACCGAGCCTTCCCTGTACTCCCCATCTAGAAAACAACCTACACGGGATTTGTGAATGGTCACACCATGCCATTCATTAGGGCTAGGGCTATAGCTTTGAAATTAAACATGGCTTTTGATCCGAACCTTAAGTTATTGCCTCTGTCTTTTTTTCTTCTTATTTTGCAGTTCTGCGTGCCATGAAGGAAGACAGTGAGAAAGTTCCAAGCTTGTTAACCGACTATATCCTGAAAGGTGGGTTTTATGGCGGTGAGGAGAATGGCTGAAGAGCTGCAATTGTCGGTAGATAAAATGTGCTCACAGCTGTTAATGTACAGTGACGGCAGATGGGTGACTGTGGATGACTGTAACATTTGGGCTCTACAAAATGTAGCTTCTACTTGAGCTCCTGGGCTGGAAAGGATTCCCACAGCTGAGTGGTGAACACTTATTGGCGGAGGAACTAAGAGAGAATTAAAAGGCATTGCACTCTACTCTGGGTGTGGTGCGCACGCCTTTAATCTCAGGATGTAGGAGACAGAGGAAGGTGGATCTCTTGAGGTTGGGGCCAGCCTGGTCTACATAGAGAGTTCCAGGCAGCCAGGGGATATATAGTGAGACCCTGCCTCAAAAAATGAATAAATGTGTAAAATAATCCAAAGACATGTTCACTGTTTCTGAGGTATGGACACGTTGGTCCTGGGAGACTTGGGTGTCTCTGTTACCTTGAGGATGATAGAAAAGGGAGGGCGGATTTGCCAGGGTGGATGGTGGAGGAAAAACTGTGGGCAGTGCCAGGGGAGCAAAGAACAGACCATAGCCTCATGTACAGAAGGGGAGAGAGTTGAGATTCCTCACCGGTGATCCGTGGGCTGTCAATATTAGAGCACATGATCTGGATCGTATAGGCAGCGGGTATTGTGGAGGGATGAGGGGCCAGAAGATACGGGCCTCATTTGCTGAGAAAAGACCAGAATGTTACCAGTCCCTCTTCAGCTGTAGGACCAGAGCGCTCACTCAGCTGTGGGACCGTGAGTGCTGTGCAGCGGGTTCACTGGGCCAGGTTTGACAGCGGCACAAAATTCACATCTTGTAGTCGACTGAATGTGGAAAGCCAGCTCCTTTCACTGCTGCACGCTTTGACTTCCTCCCCCTCCAGTTAGAAGGAGATAGAAGTGTTGTGACCTCCGAGACATTTATTATCTCCGATGGGCTTTAATTCAGCAGTAGGGGCTTGCAGTGAATGATGCAGACTTGTGATGCAGAATGTATAGACCTAACACGTAACACAGCAGCTGGCCACTTGCCAGCAGGTTAAACAGGTGGAAAGGGCGGAGTCAACGGCCTTTTTTCCTGATGGACGGCCTTTTCTCGCTATTTAATTCTTCTTCTTCTTCTTTACCTGACATCCTTGTTTACTTTTGTGTTGTGCTAGCATTGGTATGAAGGCTGGATGGCCCTGAGGTTTGTCCTAGAAGTGAAACAGGAATGAGACGAACATAAAGAACATGGCTCAGACTTCAAAACCAGTGGGTCTAGAGGGCACGGCCAGGGTGACCAAACAGTGCTGGCTTCTGAAGGATGGGATGGCCTGGGGAACAGGGCTGTGGAAAGGGAGTTTTGCTTTTACTTTGAAAACCTAGGACCATTACTGTAAGTCTTGTCCTCCGACTTGGGGAGGCGGTGTCCCCTATTCCTGCCTGCCCCTCCACTCAGGCCACTGGCTGTCTTTGAACCGTGTCTGCTTGTGCTGTGCCTGCTTCTCGTGAGCTGCTGTCTGCATGGGTTGCGCTCGTCTCTGTTTCCTGCTGTGAAGACTGGGTTGAAAAGCAGCCAGCACTCAGGCTCCAGCAGTGATGCTGTAGTCTAGAGCATGAAAGAGGGAACAGAATGTAGAAGTGTTCAGGGATTGGGGGAGCTGCCATCATGGGCTTGTTGGTAATAAAATGCTCTTTTCCACCCAGCCTGTCAACTGTTGCTCTTCCTGGGGACCAGTACTAGGACCCTTCGTGGGTGGGGCTGTTGCTCACCATGGAGAATGATGCTTCTTCTCCTGGCTTAGCTGGTCTTGCTACAGTCCTGACAGATGCCTCTGGCTTGGCTGTGTAAATAAACCTCCTTAGTTTTAATGCCAAGGTGAGAAGGGAAAGAAGGTGAAGTGACCCCATTTGGCCTATGATGGAATGGGTGCTGCTGGCCAAATGCAACTTCTCACACTTACCACCCGGCAGCCACTGTTAACGTCAGTCACAGTACCCAAGACCTAGGCCACCGAATGGCTGCCACTGTTCCTGCCTAGAGCCTTCTTTGACTTCTCCAGGGGCCTGCGCTGTTACAGGACTTGGGGCTGGAGTGATGGGCTTACATCTCATATGGTACCCCAAGAGACATGGCCTTTAGGTGTCTCATTTCTGGAAAATTCTAGTTAATGTCTTAGAGTAACTTCTGATTGTTGGTGGTAGCCCTTTGAAGTCTTAAAAATGCTAATACAGATTGCATTAGTGTGTAGTCTTCATTACACTGTGGCGCTTTACATACACATATAGAATGTATGTAAGATTTCATGCATTTAGTCCAGGTGTGTGGAGAAGATACATTTCTACCTGTTTCTTTTCTCTGTTGCAGTTCTTTGTCCTACATAGAGCAGCATTACGTGGGAGTGCGTCCCCTTCCGTGGACTCCAGGCTTGATTTCCTACACTGTCACTCTGGAAGGTGGCAGTTGTGAGTCCCTGCTGCTTTTGGAGACCCAGCACACTTGAACTTGGATTTGCAATTCAGTATTACTAGATCACGACTTCACAATCCGTCATATTATAGCACCGAGAGAGCGAGCTATGGCACTCTTGAATTCTGGAGATAGGTTTTTGGAAAACACATGGTTCCTAAGTGAGCAGGGTGGAGGAGAGAGCTAGGAACTGGCACACCATTATCCTTTCCCTTAATTCAGTGTGGCTGCTAGCGCTTGACTTACTCCGTCTGAACTGCACTGAAGAACTGCATCCAAGCACTGGGAGAGCCAACCACAGTTGTTCTCCAGTCATGGTGAGATCAGTGTTGAGTGTTTAGAGCATCTTCTATTACCTGCCAGTATTGCCCAGAGACAGACCGACCGTGGACTGGTGTGACGCAGAATCCGTTACCTGCACTGCTTTGGTCTAATGGTGGACCCTGGACACTGTTGGAAACTAAGTTTGTAACGTCTGCCTATTGCACCATTGTTGACGTGTGAGCCATTAGGATGCCATTTGGAATCATTATGACCTTGGGTGTTCTGTGTCCGTGAAGAAGTGTATTTTGAAAGGGGTCCATGCCCTCTAAGGTGCTTAAGGAGCTACTATGGTACTACCTGTTCTCATGGCTGTGTTCAGTTTTCTTTACACCTGTGTGCTTTTCTAGAAAAAAAAAACTGCTCACGGCTACAACACTAATCATGAACACTTTTGCCAGTTTCAATCAAGTCAATGATATTTAATAAAATAATACATACTTAAGAGTCTTGAGTTTTTGTTTTCTGTTCTCACAGTGCTGATGCTTGAACTTCATGTAGATTTCACCACTAAAGCATGTGCGGGGGAGGTTCTGATTGGCTAGAAGGCCAAGTGGGGAAGGACCTTTCTAGGTCATATACATCACTGTGCAGTGACAGCTATCCTCCTATTGTGCTGGGCAGTTCCCTACCCAAAGAAAGCAAGTGTACTTAAGAGTCTTTTCCACCTTAGCGTCTCATATACAAGGGTCATCTAGACTCTCCACTCTTGTCAGTGAAATGCTGCTGGCTGCTGTAGCAGACCCAGTTTGAAGTCTGAGGGCGCTTGGCATTTACTAAGACTCTGGACTTCAGCATTTTGCTTGACAGTGAAGATGCAGGACTACTGACCACATTCAGTTGAATTACTGAACACACAGTATTAGTAATTTAAGCAACTGATTAGAACAGAATTTGTAAGGTGCCTGAGACTAAGAGACAGTTCTAGTGATCAGTTTTAAAGCCCTTGACCTGCTTATGGCTTATTCTGGATTGTGCTTAAAGTTTCACCTACAATACTATACCAAGACAGTTTTCTTTAAATGGGTTCTCCAGTTTTGTCTTACGAACATGTTATTTTTCAGTAGCACACTGCCTAGGATACGCCACCAAAAACTAAGCCTGCGATGACCTAGTTATCCAAATCTTATATCAAAATGTCTTCAAATCTGAAAGTTTGTGAGCACCAACATGATACCCTAAGTGTCACGTGCAGAATTCCACAGCTGGCCTCTCTGGGCTGGTTAAACAAAGTGTTGCTTCAGTTGTCCAGAGACTGTCTAGAAGGCATATATGTGAAACATAGACACTTTCATGTTTAGGCCCCATCCCCAAGTATTCCACTATATAGGGAGATACCGTAAAACCTAAGGGGGTCTGCTGTTTGCAATACTTTGGAGAAGGGATATTCAGTTTGCTCTACTGATGAGAACCTTTCTCACTTGTGATTGACAGCAGCAGGCAGGCCAGCTTCTTGTCTTTGCAAGAGCAGCACTCCTATGTAGTCGAGTCTAAGACAGCTTTCTGCAGGAGTCCATGGGCAAGGGCCACCTGCTGAGGAATGGATGCCCATGCTCCTTAACTGCTGTGGACCAGGCTGCCCTGGGAGACCACTGTGTTTTCACCCCAGATCAGAAGTCTTCCTGAAGTGCATGGTTTTGACTTAGTGTTTATTTCTGCCAAGAACCGGGCTGTAAACCATCCCCTCCCAGCTGTGCTTTAGGAAAACAAAAGCAGTACTCCAGAAGTCTGGTGCACTCCAAGTGCTATATGCCCGGTTTATTCTTCAAGAAATTATATCTGTTTTTCTTTTACAAGAGCACAACAGGAACCAAAGTAAGAGTAATAGATACAGCACTCAGGATAAATCATATCTTTAAAATAAAAAAAATTTACACCTTGTCCTATATCCTGTTAGTATTTTCATATATGGCCATGATTGAAAAAACAAAAAGCAAGCATTTACAATTTTTTTGATAAAGTTTTTTTCTTATGCCAGGAATGGATAAATTGTCAACAAAATTTTATACTAATCAGGCTGATGTAAATCTATTTCAGTAACATCATATCATTAACAAATTCATTTTGGAAATAGATAAAAATATTGCCCCTTGATAATAAATCTTTTTCCTTTGATGCAAACAGCTAGAACACCTTTTTCTTTTTGATATTCTAAGACAAAAATGGTTAATCTTCAGATTAATAAATTAGGTCATTATAATAATAAATTAATTTTTTTTAAGTTCAGCAACCTCTGTCCAAGTATTTACAACAATACTTGAAAGTTCCTTTACAAAACAGAACACATTTTCTTTTCACATTAAGCATCCTGGGTATCCGTGTCTTTCACAACAAGCATTTTGAAAACGCAAATCAATGCACAAGTGGGCCATTAGTGTAAAAGTGCTAGGAGCTGTTTGAAAGATAACACTAGAGAGTACAGTCAGTTATATCTGAGGCAAACGACAACAAACTTCCAGCTTATTGTGGACAATATTCCAGTAGTTGTTTCAAACAGTTGTTTGAAAAAAAAAATCCAGGAGCTGATTAGTGATGCAGATAAAAAAATTGCCATCAATGTCTCTGGCCAGTGAGCGAATTGAAGACCAAGTGAAAGCAAATCCAAACGAGGAAGAAGATTTTAATAAAAGGGACATCCTTTCCATAGCAGGTGGGATGCTGGCTGCTCAAAGTGCACACACGCACACATGCACACACACACACACACACACCCATGCACGCACACGTGTGCGTGCGCGCGTGTTCACAACCTCTCTTTCCAATTAAACTGCAGATAAATGAGATTGTGTTATTCAAAAACCCCTACGTGATCAGAAGCACTGCTCTGGGATGCCTGTTTATCTGCCTTTGTTCTGGTTAAAATCTCATAAAAATACATTCAACAGGAAAACATAAATTGTATGTGTATAAATATATATGTATATATATTATATACACATGCACACAAATACTCTTGTTCTTGAAGCATAAGATAGTTACATAAATATTCCTATAATTGCTAAAGTTTAAAGAGGCATCTTTTTTTTGAGCTTCAACAAAGGTGCTTGAATAATATACAATTAAAATGAAGTAGTTTCTATTTTGTAGAATCAGTATATAATAAAGAAAAAAAATCCCAGTTTTTTTTTTAAAGTTTCTTCTTAAGCTAGAGCTTCAACAAAACTATGAACAACCGACGATACAACAGAAAGAAACAACAATGAAGTATAGCCCCTGGAAATGCCTGGTGTCCTTCACCCTCGCCCGCCTTCCTGCCACGTGGGGTAAGAGAAGCTCCAGTGCTCACGTCAAGAGGTGACCTTGTCCTTACCCACCTGCTGTCTCTACTAGGAACTGGCTGATTGGCACGGAAGGAAACAGAAGCAGCAAAAAGAGTTAACTGTATAGATCCTTAATAACCCGCTTTCGAGAAATGGTGCTATCCATTTCCCTGGCTTTCTCACTGCCTACTGCAGCTGTGACTGTATAGAAGAGAAACTTGTGGCTTTACACCTGGGATGGCTATCAAGAGTTCTGGTGCACTTGTCTGGTGGTACGGCAGCTGGGTCGCAAGGCCTTTTGTGTTCCTGCTCATTCAGGCCCGAGCTTTGTTTGCAGCGACCAACAGAGTCTTCAGAGCAACAGGAAAAAAAAAATTTCCTCTGGGCCTTGAATTGCTTTTATTTTCCTGGCTTTTTTTCCCCCCGAGCCAAGCTGACCGATTTTTTCTTCCCAACACTACCCTCCCAACCCATTTCCCCCACAAAACTCTCTGCCCCACCCCCAAATGTCTCTACAGCTATCTTACAAGCAAATATACTTTAGCAAGTTTTAAAACTTTGGTTCTATGAAAACATATGGTCAGTGATCTTGAGGCCAAGTGGGAATGCTTGTTCTGCACAATGCTGTAGACAGAGCCCATCCCAGTTAAGTCCTTAGTGCCGGACACCAAGTCACAATCTGATACAATCCACTAAGCAAGTGCACAAATTCTAGTTTACTTTAAAGAGCAGATTTTTTTGTTGTTGTTTTCTCTTTCGAAGCCTCATCCATGCTGCCGCCGCCTGCGTTCACACCGTTTGGTAGAAATTGTCCGCCTGTAGATGGTTCTGTTTTTGCATGCTGTAGAAGCCACTGAATCGCGCATCAGGTTCGGCAATTCTTAGCATCGTCTGGGAACCGTCCGCCTGGACTCGTGTGCCTTTCTTGCAGTCCACAGATACCAGCTGATTATTCAGGGAAGATGGCTGTTCAGTGAGAGAGGAGAAAGAGAAAACCCACAGACTTAGCTTACTTCTTTCTATATGCCAAATGGACAGAAACTTCTTTCTATATGCCAAATGGACAGAAACTCAGGACCTAACTCAGGTGAGACAGGAGTTTCACCATATGAGGACGGCCAGAGTGTCCGTGGGGCATGATGTCTTATTATTAAAGCTGTACGTAAAGGGATATCGTAACTGTTTTCAAATCCTTGGCTGCAGGCCTGCGTTTAAGAGGGCTGGAAACCGGTAGAAGTTACCAGGCAGGCAGATTTCAAAGCAAAAGAGGTTCTGTTCGCTGTGATTTCACACCTTCACAGAGGTTTCCTGAATGCTGGTTAGTGCACCTCCTCCTTTCCTTGTTCAGTACCGTGTCATGTTGGCATAAAGGCTGTGCCATGCATCTCTCTCTCTCTCTCTCTCTCTCTCTCTCTCTCTCTCTCTCTCTCTCTCTCTCTCTCTCACACACACACACACACACACACACACACACACACACACACACACACACCAGACAGGAACTTTATATGCAAGGGGAACCCTACTAGGCAGGAGGGGAAGTTGGATGAAATACTCAGGTTGTCTAGTTGAGTGCAAAAGGAAGGGTTAGAGTTGGAAGCAGTGGCTATTTCCTTAATATACGTTTTTCTTCCTTTTAAAACAGGCATGATTAAGAGGTCCTCAGATTAGAACACACGCACTCTCTTTGTCCCTTGGTGAGAAGTCTGCCTCTGGACCTTGTGTCATCTCAGTGTCTTCCTTCACCCTGTCTGGCCTGGCTGACTTCTTTGCTTGCTCAGTATCTTCCAAGCTCCTCTTGCCCTCTCCGTCCTTTCCCTCCTTTAGTAATTTTTTTCTCTCTCCATTAAAAGACCAAAATAAAAATGACCGAGGTGGTCAAGTTTTGGCTTCAAATATAAATGAGAATTGAGGACTCAACTTCAGCAGGTATCAGTGCATATAAACATGTTAAAAAAAAAAGCTCGTCCAAGGAGCTGGGTCCTGTGGAAGTCAGGACTCATTCGCCAGCGGACGGCAGGTAATTTACTCAGTGCTCAATCTTGCCCTGCACAAGTATTACACGTTTGCTTGCTCCAGCTTGATAAATACTGGACATTAAAACTAGCAAAATAAAAATGATACTGCCTAACAGAAAACGTATAAAGAGAACTGAGGGAAAAGGAGTGTAGGCAGTGGTGGGTTT